AATTTCAATTTTCAAAGTCGGTTGTTGTGGAAGAGATGAACCAATCTTGAGCTATACAACCATGTCTGGTTCAGTAAACGTTAAACCATGTCACATTTTTGTTTTTTCCCCTGGCCGAAACCACCACATCGATTTGGACTCCCGAGTACCAATCCACGAGCAATTGAATGGCCGGAAAGAAAAGCAAGTTCTCTTCAGAGATCAAGTAGGAAGTTCTCCTGTCATATCCGAGTTTTTCTTCAAGTGAAAAGTGGAGATTTGAAAAAGAAATCAAATCGTTGTAGAGATGAAGATAGAGAAACGACAATTGAGAGAGTAGAATTGCAGAAGACGTGAGTAATCAGATTTAAAGTAAAGGGACCAAAACAATATTTTAACTAATAAAATATTACATCTATAAACATTACTTTCACTCATATATTTGGTTATTTCATTATACGATTCAAATCATATTTTAACTATCTAAAAATTCATAAGATTTTAATGTAGAAAAAGAATTGGGAAGATTTAGTGGATTGGGGAAGGTTTTTTTTTTTCTCTCATTCATTCATTCAATCAGTTTGTTATCTTGAGTAATTGGGACATACTTTCACATCACCATAACTAGGCATCGAAATGGATGAGGACTTTTCTTCTCCCTTTTTTCTTGTTTGTTATTTGAACAAATATTGAATTTCAAATTTAGTCGTAAACTTTTAACTTATATCCTCGAACTAGAGTTTCTATATAATTCCTACTGTCAACTTCGTTAACAAATGACAATACGACATATTTATTGACAAACATCGGTTAATATATGAGATGTGACAGACAAATAAGAAAAGAAAGTATCCAATTAAAGCAAAATAGAGTGGTACAACCTACAAAAAGGGATTCGACATGTTGCTTAAGCTCAATACCGACGATACGGTGCAAACGTTGTTCGTAGAACATGAAGTATATGGAGCCCACAACCTAGGTAGTGCTATTTGGGTTGGAATTATGTTCCATTATCTTTGAGAGAGAAGTGGTGAATTGGACCATATCCTCTCGTGGGGTGGGAAAATGGAATTGTGGGTTTGGCACAAACACATTCCAAGTGAGAGAGATCCTTTTTCTATATACTTATCCATCACTCAAAACGAACGAGCATAGCTCAACGGTAATTGATATATATCGATCACTACTCATGCTTACGTTGACCATCAATACAAATTTAACCGTTTTTAAAATGAAAAAAATATATATCTTTTTCTACATTTCTCTATCTTACTTGTAAAAAATTTAATGATGGACAATAGAAAAAATGAGTGCTGACTGGTAAGTACTTAAATCATGGTTCTCGAGACAGCACACGCTCTCTCCCCTCGCGAAAAAAATCCATAACTCTCACTCTCTCTCTCATGAGATGAGAGAAAAAGAAAACCCCACCACACCTCACCACACCAAGGCCTCCACAAAAGAGAACTGAGAAAGAAAGAAGAAGAGAGGGGAGACCCATTGGCATTGGCATTGGCTTGGCTTATAATGGTCACAATCAGCAGTCAGTCAGTCACACGTCTAAATGTTGTCTGTTCCTTTTTTTTCCTTTTCTTTTTCTTTTGATTCAGTGAACCAAATGGCAGTAAGAGTAAATTTGTAGTTGCAATTTAGACCTTCATTTGTGGCATACTCTTTTCTTCCATCAATTATTGATGATGGGTTTGGACTTTGGGGTTGGTTTTTCTTTCAAGTTTCAAATCNGTAAGTCTAAGTCACAGAGCACTGTCTTGTCCAATGAAAAACTTTTAATATCCCAATCCCAATCCCTATGCCTTTCATCTCATCTCATTTTTTCAAACCAAGTAATCATCTCCACCTTTTCTTCACCTACTATACTACAATTCTCTAATTTCCCACATTTCTAAAACCAATGCTCTTTTGGGAAGTCACGTAATTTCATTTTCTCAGACTCTACAACTTTGACGTATAGGTTTTGTATCTTAAGCTTGAAAATGTTGAGTTTGAAGTAAATCTGAAAGAGTTGTGTAGATTTAGACAATAGATTTGTAATCAAATTTCAGAACATAGATTTGTAATTTAGACAATATGTACTATTTACTATCGTGCTACAAAATCCTTGGAATAGAACTTCAAATTACATATTTACTATTGTAGTCTCACCGACTACAAGATTAGTCTTTTCCATAATCTAAACACAAATTATACAAATTCAGACTTACGAAACAGAAAAGACTACTCCAACTTATATTTTATTCATATTTATTTGATTCTCAATCTRTTGTTTTTCCTTGAATCACATGGAAGATATGCTTTTTGGTGAGAATTGGTCTTGACAGCTCTTACTTTTCTGTTTTAATTCAATTATTAATTGGTGATGTGACGATATGAATGTGGCCTACAACATAGTACACTCTCTATTGTCCTATGGATTTCTCATGTCCTATCTCACAAGATTTTATTTTCTCCATTTTTGTATCCTTTTCATTTCAGAAAAATACATTGGGCAATTATTGTTATTTAAATATGTATCAAGTAAACGTGTTCTTTAAAACAAATGTGACTCTAGTAATTAAGAAATGTGTTCCAAATGATAGTTATTTGATTTAAAACTTATTTTGCTCTCAAATTTATTATACTTTAATTTTTATTTTTAAAATTATTATATTTTGATATATGTGATTTATACATAAGATCACATGAGATGCCAAGCAAAATTCCTGTTGAGTGCCCAACAAGGATTTGACTACAAGGACCAAAACAAAATTTATATAAAATGTAAGGACTAAACACAACATAAAAATCAAGATAAAACAGACATGAAAGTTCTAATTAACTAGGATTTATAAAATACATTTTAAAAGAATTATTTTGAAAGTAATAACAAAATAAGGTAATTTTAGCCAAATGACAGAAAATTGACACAAGTTAATTTTTAAAACTACATTATTGTTTAAGTTGACCCAAATTTAAAGACCGTACTAAGATTTTAAACTAATTATTTTCTTTCCGCTCCTTGTTTTTTAAAGGAAAAAATATTTAGTAAAATTGTTTTTAAATTTACATAAGCTATCAATTATTTTCATAAGTCTGGATTATATGGTCTTTCACGTGCATGAGATGACTACATGTCAAAAAAAATATAGTGATTTAATTTATTTATTTATTCCTTAAACAAGGCTTTTCCTTTCGACATGAATTGCCTACAATTTTTTTTTTTAAATACAACCTATTTTATATTCTTATTTATTGTTGTTTTTTATTCTCAGTTCTCTTTTTCTTTATTTTATGGCCTGTAACATACCCAAAATTTAAAAAGTTAGAAAATTTTCACTAGATGGCTTAAATTTAATGTGTATTCTAACAAATGTCACAATTTGTCATTTTTTTGTAGATATAGTATAAAATGTGACTTCTTATTGTGTTTTATATTACTATTTATATAAAATTTTAAACTTTCATTTATATTTTAAAGTAGATATTTATTTTATGCTACTCTATGGGTTCACAAGGGAAAGTTTAACGAGAAATGGTATATAAAAATTRATTTTGAAAAATGARGGGAAAAATATATTGTTCCCATATCTTTTCCTGAAAAACTACAATAATAGAATACCTMAAAATACCTCAAAAACAAGAAACAAAATATTAGAATGTCGTAAGACAAACAAAAAATTAATAATTCAAAATATTGTTGAATAATATCCTACAAGTTACAATGAAAGCTCTAGACTTGCCAACAAGTTAAAGATTTGCTCTTTTCTTTATCAACTTCATGAGATAAAAGAATTTTGAAGATCATAATAAGTCAATAAAAGCTGCATTTTTTTATTTACAAAAACATTTATCGGATGAATCCGAAAAAAGTGAAATATTTTATGGACACAGTGAATTCAAATTTTTAAAAGAATAAAGCTATGTAGATTTTTAAATAGAACAAGGAAAGGTATAAAATAATAATAATAATAATAATAATAATAATAATAATAATAAATGGTAAGGAAAGAGAAGGAACTAAAAATTAATAATAATTATTCATAGTACTCGATAAAATTAGAAACTGTCGCAACAGAACTAATGATTCAAAACGGGACATTTTTTTGCACATTTCCCATTTCTAATTTTTGGAAAATATAAACATTTGATATATGTTCATGTTTCACATTTTTCGTTTCTCAGTCTCAAGAAATATGACCAGAATTATGTATAAATTTTGAAAACAAAATCAAATTTCTTCTTTCTGTTTTTTATTTTTTCCAAAATATAGATAAAAGTATTATTTCATCATTTTTTACTTATAAAATATCAATAAATAAATGCAACATAAAATCTTAAAATATTTAATCTGAAAAATTAATTTTTATATAAAACTATTACTTTTTTTTTATTTAAAACTTAGTGGAGAAGAAATAAGAAACGGTTACAAAACAGGTTTTTGTTTCATATTTTAATAAATAAATAAATAACAAGATTGTTACCGTAAGGAACGAGAAACGAGAAACAAGAATCAAGAATGTTACCAAACCGACCCTGCAATTTCTCTTTTCACATTGATTCCATTAGCTGCATTTAATAAACCATAAAGGATTGAAATTCAGAAAGCTGCAAACAAGATCTCTGAAATGAGACAGGAAACTGGACAACGAAAAAACATATTGTAATGAAAGCAAATAGGGACTGAATATAAAGAAAGAATTTGAACAAATTGAAAATTATTGCCATCATCCCACTAGATTATGGTTGTCAGAACCCCACAGGTCAAAAAGAAAAGAAAAATCATTTACAACTTACAAGAACAAGCATGGGAGATAACTGAGTTCCCTTCCCTAAAGTTAACTGTCCCACAAACCAACCTATAAATTGAATCTTAATGGTAAAAGTAAAACTATCGCCATACTTTCCTAACTTAAGAAAAATATATTAAGAGTTWGATTTTCTAAAAGAATATAATAATAAACAGTAACAAAACGATAGGAACCCGAAAAATCTATTCGCTCAACTTTTCTATCCATCAGAAGCTGTGGACAGATTTCCAACTCTATCAGGAAATCCAACTAATTSGGGCAACTATTAGGTCACGCAGCTTATAGAGAGCTTGATGGATGCTAAAGTATGAGACTTACAAGGTCATAGCTCGGATTTAAGGCCGATTTCCTATCAACTTGAGCTTGGCCACAGAGAACTAAGTCGGGCTGCGAGTTTTGCGCTCTTGTAATCATCTCTAAGCTGGATAAACCTGATTCCAGCCAAAAAAAAAAAAAAATTTGTATCATCACAAAGAACAAGATGTCGAAATGGCACGAAAATTCAATACTAATCATGATGAAGTCTAACATTTAAATATTAATTCCTTTTTTCTGTTTTTTGATAGAAAGGCAACTTTCACCACGAGGTCATATTTGAAGATTAATTTTTCTTGTGAATGGCTGCACCTATGTTAGGGGATAATGCAAGCCAGAGTAGGATGGGGGTACCACTGGAATTTTACACTTTAATATGAATATTAGAAAGAGATAAGTGGGATGTGGCGTCAYAATACTCTACAATCACATGAATCTCCAACAAATCTATTCTGCAAACCGTAGTTCAATAAGATCTTAACAAAATACCTTTGACAATCTTTCCGAATACTTGGGGTGCCCTCAAACAGAGATGAGAGACTTTCAGGAGCAACAATAAAGACGTTGGCAATGCTGGAAAAAATAGAATGCCGAACGAGAGATTAGCCATGCAAAATGGATGATGTAATGTCAGACATCTGGCAAAATACTACTTACATGCCCAGTAACTCAAATTTCTCATCGACAGAAGGAGCATTAAAACTGCGCACAAATTCTCCGTACTCTATTATGTCACGCTTCAGACGTAGTCCTCCGCTGCAGTGAAGAAATGCACAAGCATAGATGAATTCAGTGAAACAAATATCCATGCCAAAATAAAAAGGGTGGGGAATACCGACTCCCAACTAACCCTTCAAAAATACATTGACTAGATGGAACAGAGACACAGCAAAATTTTTGGTACACAAAACGAGCAAACTAAAATCCAAGATATTTCTAGTTCTAGATTGTCAAACAATAGCTCACTGTTGCCACTTCCAACAGGGAGAAAAAGTAGTTACAGACATCTATTCTGACAGCTAATAACTTGCCAAATCTACTGCAAATGATTGTCAATAATTTTTTCTGTACAGTACGTATAATTGTCGGAATGCAAATGAATGTGTACATTATTCCTTTAAACAGTAATGAGTATGAGCTCAAAAGGTGAGCTTCCTCATTAACACTCTCTAAACCAAAACACCTAAAATCTCTAGTTCATGGTATACATGTAGAAGAACACCATTCATCAAACTAAAGACCAAATTCACGTCAGAGATTAGTGTTAAAGAAATTATTAAACTAAGCTTAAGATAAAGGTTAATACGTTTTAGGCTGTGGCTATACCAAAAAATTGGAAATGAGATTCCGACTTTCATTTGAATAACTACTGAACTCCAATGAGCTATAAGTTGGAGACCATCGAGATGAGTATGGCACAGGCAGCTATGAGAGGAAATTCAGGCTCGCCATCCGGTGTGGGCTTACARGACTAGGACTCAAATCCTTTCTTTCATTCATCAATAGGGCCMTGGTCGGTCACTTTTCCGAGCCGGGAACAATAAGTGGAAGTCATAAAAAATAGATCTTTCTCTTTGTACAGATCAAGAGGAATGGTAGCTTCTATAGGCCGTAGTGGCTAAAGATTTGGTTACTAGGGTTTAACAGCAAGCATTGTTCGGTCATCATCTGTGACTGTTAAATTAGTTAAACAGTTACATGGACCTCGTATCTTTATACATACCAGCTTCCATTTGAGCTGGTAGGACATTAGTAATATTTTCTTTAATTTAGCAGAGATTTGGTAGACCATTAAATTTTTTAGATTAGAAATTATAGGTAATTCATTTTGCTCAGTGAACCAGGCAACATCTTGTTGACAGGTAAGCATAACTATACATCATTACTTCAGCCAACATTCTACCGACAACAAGCATAASTAGACGTTATGACTTTTTCCATCACTCACTTGACAAATAAGCACAACTATGTGTTACAACTTCTGCCAACATTTCTGTTGACCAATAGACATATCCAAACATCACACTGCAAAGTAGGAAATGAGCAGTTACCTAGGATTAAAAGTGAACTTCTGCCAGTGGCTCAGGAGGCCTTTGTGCAACCGATTTCCCTGCAATGAAAATTATTCTCATTAATTCAATCTGATGCCATTAATCTCCAACTCTATCAGCTAATAGAGGATCGTAAGTGAAACAATAACATCTGGTCTGGCAAACTCGAAAACTTTTAGAATAATACCAGCTCAGTTAAGAATGCTTGCTTGTTAAGACCTTCAAGGGCAGTAAAAGCAGATTCAAGCACGCGAGAAAGGTAAGCCACAACTCTATCACAGAGAAGAAGACACATTGATCAGTAGAAAATTTTGCATACTTAAAAGACCAAACATTCAATTGTCCGACAACAATAAACTTCCTGCCTAAAATAACAACTTCAGTTAACTGGTTTCCATTGATCCTTGAGTTGATAAATAACACTAGAAAGCAAAACAACTTGAGTACAATTTTTTTGCTACAATTTTCAAATACCCTACCCATGATGTTGGCATTATAAAATTCAACAAAGAGCACCCAAAACATGTCACCTAAATTTATATCTTTTTTTTGCCAGGAAAGAGGCGGGGGGATTGCTGCAGAACTTTTTTCCAATCCTAGCCAATTATARGGTTGATTTCTACCWACCCTGGCAGTAAATATCATTACTCAATACAATTGTTTCTTCCATTCAAAAATCAACTCAACATAGATCTTGCAACTTCGCTAAGTTGAATGTACCTAGTGCAGGCATTTGTTGGCCGATGATCAGGAGCAATTCCATCATCAGGAGACTTATAATCAGTAGCCTTCTGTTCAGCTGAAAGCAACCGCTCAACCTGCATATTCATAATATCACAGGAAATTATGAAATGAAGTACTTGGACAAATTGGACATATGGAAAATCTCTGGGTTGGGAATAAAATTCTAGGCAGAGAAAGATTGGAAAAGAAGTGATACGTAAAATGAAAGAATGTATCAGCTTACATGCCTACTAATCCATTATTTTGACTGGAATCAGAAACAAGGCAGTAACTGACCTCAGCCATTACAGTTTCAATGCACTGTTGAAGTCCTTTATAAGCTGCAGCCTCTGCACTAGACATAGCTGTTGACATCTCTTCGCACGAAGCAGCATGGGCACCATCCACAGGAAGCAAGAGCCTGGAAATTGAGTTTGCAAAATACTACAAAAGAAAGTACAAATCATCCCTTTGCTTATTAAGAAGCTGGTCGCAACTAGACTAAATAATAGAAAGYATCATCATACTTGCTGGACTATTGCCACACTACTACCACAACGTTGTACAGCAACCATGAAAGTTCGGAAACTGCTTTCACCAGCTGCTGCAGCTGCTTCYGCCTACACACGTGATTTAACAAATAGTTTCCATTGTCTCTTTTGGGTAAACTAAGGCAATACCTTTTACAAGAATACAAAAAAATAATAATAATAAAAAAGAAATCTAAGATAATTTGAATWGCAACCAAAAGAGTAGTGATCAGAAAATTACTGCAGAAGCAGCTGCAGCAGCCACTCTTCTACTAACACTTGTACCCAGCACAAACCTTTCCCTCAAAGCMGCTGCTTCGGTCAAGCTATCCCTAGCCCGTTCAAGCCCATCTGTAATATACTGACTGACCTGCAATTACAAAAGAAGGGAAAAAACCCTAAGCACATACAAAATAGAAGAGAAAACAATGGAAGCCTACAATTAATTTTATCCAACTTACTTCGTCAAGCAGACAAGTAAACACAGCTTTTACATTGGTCGCCAAAGTAGCAGGCTGCATTGGAACATAAAAATTAACAAGTGGAAGGAAAAAGTTCAAAATCTATGCAATGAATGTTACCACTCATAGACACTATTTTCCTCGTGGTACTGAAATCTAAGGTTTAAATTTATGAAGTTTTATATAAAACATTTATCTAACAAATTATAAATATCAATTACGTTTCAAATTTCTCAACATTTTTAACATCATTTCTATAGAAAATGAATCCAGTACTACAGAGAAAGATGCAAATTGCCATTAGACAAATGAATCACTAGTTAAATACACCATTAATCGAAAACGGGAAGACACTGGATAAGACCTGATTTGAATAGCAGATACAAAGTCACTGGATTAGACCTTTTCAGCAATTTTTAATTTGGAATCATTTAATGGGAAATGCATAATGGATAACAGGATTGATTGATGGAACAAATATTACTTGAGATGAGAATAAAGTGCATCTAGAAATTGCTTCCTCATTCCATCGCACAAAYTCTGTAACAACAGTGACAGAAATTTGCYGAGGTGAAGATGCTATTGAAGCCCCTTTCGAACGTCCAATAGTACCAGACGACTCAGGAACCTGCTGATTCTCAGCACGTAACTCTTCCATCTGCAAGGTGCACATATTTAGTACCTGATGAGGTAAAAACATCAACTGAAAACTCAATTCATAACAAAGCATCTGTAGTAAACCTTAGCCTGATACAGCTGYGTGAGAGATGCCCGCTCATGCTCGGGATACTCTTCCTTGTGAGCAGAAAACAAGGACTCTGTGAGGCCTGAACCAACAGTTTAAAGATAAAATATTGGATTAAGCGACTTCACATATGGGAGAGGAGACTAAATAAATAATTTAACAGCACTAGCAATAAATAWACAAGTGAAAGAACTAGGGAAAAAATTATCATCTAAAATAAACGGTTTTTCCCAGTAAAGAATTYGACACGGCCAAAATGCTTTCTCATACAAAATTATTAACAGCAAAGAGGACAACTTCAGCTTCATAGAATCGCTTTTCATCCAAATGACCAATTAGTGACCCAACTAAATATTAATCGCTTTTATTTTCTTTCCAATAGCATATAGGCAATCTTTTCATCATATTAACTTTCCAYTCTCAAGCTTATAACTCAGAAAGGCTAACTTGGCTCATGCAATAGCATATAGGCAACCATGTTCATCGTATTAACTTTAAATTCTAACTCAGAGAAAGAGGGCATAGTTAAGAAGCAGATTAATAAGGGCATATTGTACTAAAAAATAATAAATAAAATAAGGGCATATTAGTTATAAACCAAGTTATTGATTATATATTGAGGGATTGGATAAGATGAAGATAGAGAATTGTTCGGTGTGGTTTAGGCTTGAGTAAGAATACTCAAGATACGTGAGAGTTCAAGTACGTCAAATTACTTGAGAGTTATTGTAGTTCTTCTATCTTTTAGAATTCAATATATTTCTAGTTGTTCGGGTCCCTATGTCCCTATGTTTGGCTAGTAGGTTGGTTTTTCCAAGTTTGTAAATCCTATTGGCTACATCAACTCAAGTGGCATGGAACTGACTTGGTAKATTATAACGTACTCTAACTTCCATAAATCTTAAACAACAAACCAAACACATATTACACAAACTCTAACCTCATTTCTTTACAGTTTACACAATTTAAACACGAGCTCTCCAATATATGCTTCAACTTTAAGTATATTAAAACTGCGAGAYGAACCTCCTAAAAATGCACTGCATATCTACAATTTAGTCTTTAAGTTGTAAATACGCTCCTAAGAAACAAAAATGAAAACCAAAAAATAAAAGAAAAAGCTCTTTTGTGAAATTTACAAATTAGTGTCATAAATATCCTTTTGTATTGAAATATTTTAACAAAACTTTTTTTCTCAGTAAAGAAAATACTACAAACACAGCGTACATGTTTAGAAAATATTAATCATCGGCCATTAAATATAAACTGCAATTTTCAAAATTAGTGATAATCACAAAATTCATGAATAAATTGACAAGGAAAATTCAATTAGCCATTACCCTCGACATCCAAGTCACCACACCCAACAGCTCGTAGGTCTCTAGCAAGCTCCTGCGTCTTCTCATATGCCACTGCCATCATTCTAAGGTACTGTACATACTCGAAAATGTACACAATGATCAGTAAAGCAGATCAATTGGAAGTAAAAATTTCAAAACTCTAGTAGGTCCACCCACTAATAAAAGCCCGCCTTCTTCTATTGGAGGTAGATTCACAAGGGATGGCTTCACTAATAACTTGTCTAAAAGGGCCGTAACTCGTTGCTCCAATACACGCTGCAGTAACAKATCATAAAATCAGATGCAATGCAAATACGTACTACATTCCTGCTTAAAACATAAAATACTGAACTGGGGAATCGAGAGAGATATGTAACGTGCCTGGACTAAGATTGACATAACATCATTGGGAGAAGGAAATACGGCCATTATCGTTGCAGCTTCTTTTCTTACAGTATCTGCAGAGCACACAATAAAGATATAACAAATTCATAGAGCAAAAGCCCAAATGAGCAAKCCTTCACACTTTCCAACCTGTAATTTCTTTGTACAAGGAAGATAGCCCACGAGCAACATTGCTCGGAGTGGCCTGCAAACCCTGCTCACCGAGGACCAATCTGGTGTCCGCATTCATAATTTCCACATCAATAAACATGGGACGTGTTGCCACATAATGTTGCATGGCACTAGTACCTCTATTAAACTGCATGGAAATTTTCAGTAATCAAATTTTTTTCTGCACCAAAAAAAAAAAAAGAAAAAGGAGAGAACTGTGCTGATTTTTAGATGAACTAACATGTTTCCCCACAATTTCCTCAAGACCTCAATTATCAATTTAATACTTTAATAATATGCATGGTCTAATTTCTTCAACTTAGAACAGCTTGTTATTATGCCTCATGCACCAGTGATGAGGATGGTGTAAACAGTGCTGAGGCACAACAGTAAAGCCCTACTCTTCATCTTTAGAGTCCATGCCACCCACCCCACCTCTAAACATTGAAATGGTTTGACTGCACTAAATGTACTCAACAAATCTGATCCATAAAAACGATCAGTTTACCACAGGAAACAGCTAAGATGGGAACATAGCTGAAGTACAAGAAATCGGCCATGAATAATAAAGATAACACATATATGTTATCCTTATAATAGGGAAAGCAAAAAATTTATAAATTAAAATATGCATAAAAAATCTGCTGCTTTGAACTGGGACATTAAGGATAATACTGGTCATGACAAATTAAYATGCAACCCAATGAGGGATCAACAAGCACCGTTCGTTCTTATAAGCATACTTGAAAGAAGAAGATAGAGCATGTAAGAGAGGCAGTACGAATTCAGTAAAGAGACCAAATTGGTAGCTGGTCAGATWCATAAGACACAATTACCTGTGACAGAATTTTAGCACATTCAGCCATAGTTGATAATTCTCTTCTTTGTGATGCTGCATCAAAACGAGAGAGCAACCTATTTTCCAATTCTACAGAAAGAATAAAACGATAACCATTAGTCATAATATAACAAGCATTAGAAAAGATAAAATAGTTCCATAGTAACATTTATTGGAAAAGGTCATCATAAAATTCTTGAAATAAGTGTCTTCTCACTACGAAGAAACAAATGATCAATAGTTTCATCTTCACTTTTCAATTTTTTATAATAAAATGGGGGGAAGCATGACAGACTAGGTAGATGAGCAGCAATAAAAATTCAAAAAGATTCTATATCTAACATTATAACTATCCCAATTCATTAAAATTAGAAAGTGTGCCATGAAGCTGCCATACCATTACAGTATTCCTGAAGGTTAGCAACTGCAGCTTCTAAACCTCGGCTGGCAGTTGCATTTCCGACAATTGACGGAACAGAAATCCCTTGTCGTCCAATATCTTCCTCCGCAAATGAACCTGGAACCAAAGTAACATGAAGCAAGCATACAAAGTTGACATAATGTAACAGAACCTTGAAATTAATTTTCAAAATAAGAGGATTTTTAGAAGCAATTGAACATCCAGAATAATAAAACACAAAATGTTTCATAAATTATGGATTGATGTGGTATGTCCACATGAATAGTTAATAATTTGTTGTCCTCTGTTTTTGAGTATATTAGAGTTTGCCAATTCAAAATACATAGAAATACACTTTACTTTTTGGGACGTTCCTTCTTCCACATGATTTTGTTTGATGCTAAATCAAGTTTAAACGTAAGGCAACATTTATCTACAAAAGAAGAATGAAATACAAAACTGAGATAATGACAACTTTCATGCTTGCCAAAAATAGAAAATTATTAAAGAGAGCAATAATGATAAAGACTTGGTTTCGCAACTACGATGGAAAGAAAAGGGACAAAACATGTAGTCTCCAAAGAACTAACAGAAATACCACAATCAAACGAGCAATATAATGTTCTTTGTGGATTTAGATGAAACGTGGTTTAACTGTGTTGTCCATGGACATTTTCCAGCATTAATGATGGTAACTTACGCAATTTTTGTGCAACTGAAGCTGCCTCTGCAACACGACTATCATCAGAGAATAATGGTGAAAGCTCCATTAAGTCACCAGGGCTGCCATTGAATTCCATCAAGTACTGCAGTGATTGATTATAAGGATATTCTCATTTCATTATAATTAACTTTAAATAGAAAAGGAATGAAACCCACACACACAAACAGAAAGAAGTCTTAAAGTAAAAAAGAAAAAAGAAAAAARAAGCATATAACATTGGTGGCACAAATTCAATCAATGAACTCATAGCACCTTTATCAACTCTATTGTTTGACTAGCAGTTTCCCTTTGGGCATCTGCACTCTGACAAAAGAAAACCGAGCAAATTAGAAAAATGGTAGTCTCATTTCCCACACTAATGACTTGATTAAAGTTTCATGAATCAACGATTCAATCAAATTTAAATGTCATTGAGGACAAAATAATTACCTGAAGATGATCTCCTATTTTTGCAGCAGTCTGTCCAACACTTGAGATACGTGAATCTAACCTTGCAAAACTGTCAAACAGGCCATCTACACCTTTTTCCAACTGTCATTAACGATGTATGTGTGATAGGTTAAACAATGAAACATTATCGGTTCCAAAATCCAAAAATAGAGATTTGGAATTTAGATATTTACAAGCTACCTCTCCTAAATAAGGTTGRAAAACATTATTAGAGAAAGAGTAGAATGTAACAAAATAATATCGGTTGAATCAACAATCAATGACTTGTGGATCTTCTAAGGTTCTATTAAAAATTAACTGATTAATTGATTTACGGTAATTTCCGCACAAAATGATTCCCTTAACACCCCGAAGAAAGAACAAAATAGAAACAAAAGTAGAAGTTGAAGTTGAATACCATATATGCATGACAATTACTCGAACTTGAAATGATTGTGCATTTAGAATTTTATCGTGACTCAAAAGCAATATGCTCTATTCAACAAACCTCAGCAAGTGTCTTGCGATGCTTGGAATCTTGGGCAGCAACTTCTTTCTTGAGATTGTAAAGTTTACCATCGATCTTTCACCAGAATGAAGAGAAAGTTAAAGCCTTCAAATAAAATTATGATGTTTTGGCAGAACTCTCATGGCCTTCGGTCAAATGTCATACCTGTTTCCGAAGATCAACCAACTCTTGGCTAGAATCCTTGAACAAGGCTAAGAGYTTGTCAACTTCTGGAAACAAAGGAGTGGACAGCCCTTGGGAGAATTTRATTGTATCTGACGGTGCCCGTAAATGCCCATTAGGAAAAGCATCATTGCTAATGTTGTGTCCTTCTATTGAATCAGTTTCATCCTCTTGAAATGATGGAAGGAGCTCATTCACCAAATTTCCGAACAATGCATCAAAGGAAAAATCGCCCTACAAGTCCAAAATATACTCTAAAGCTTCTTCCAAATTCATRTGGAGATTAATATGATGGCTATCTCAAATGGTATATTGATATTGGTTGGATAACTTCAGAAGAGAGCATAGTAAAATGAGAAATTGAAAATATGGTCTTTACCTTAAAGTCTTCAACATCCAAAATGAGGGGAAGTGAGCTAACAGATGGATTTTTCGTGTGAGTGCCACTCTTAGTCCCATTCATCTAGTTTGYAGAGAAAATAAGTCAGAGAAAAAAAAACTAACGAAGTGATTCTATCAATAATTCAAGCTTAACTGATAGAGYTGCATCCAATTCAAGTTTCCATCAAATGAAGCTGACCTTATCACAATAGGGAGGAAGTATAACGATCCAGCTCCTTTTTAAGTGTTGTTAAAACTTGTTAGCTGCAGGTCTGGAATAAAAGAATACAAGTGAACCAACGGGAAACTAGAAGATCCGTTCATACCTATTGTTTAGTACACTTATTGTGCCATCATGACCAAGGCAATTATACAAACACCAAAACGCCTGGGACAGAATAGCTCGTCATACATATAAACATAATTGTAATTTTCAGAATCGAAACAAAAAGAATCAGAGTTCCACAACTGTGTGAACGCTTTCACCTCCGTTCACCTCCTGTTTGGTTGCCAAGAAAACGCACAAAGACTTTGAAAGAACGAAAGGCAGAAGGTAATCARTTAACTCATCTCAACTGAGAAAAACAATAGCATCATGCCACATAAAGTACAAACCCGATCTGGCTATAACAATTTAAACACACACACAAAACAACAGCAAAATAAGATCAATCAAATTCACTTTTCTCCTTCCTACGTGTTCCTCGAAAAATCAGAGGGAATGGAGTCTGAACAAGCCTTGAACAAAATTCGGCCATAGATCAGACTGGGACAGAGACATGGACTGCAGAGACCAAAACTCACAATTCCGTCAATTGGAGAACATAAACGGAGTAAGAAAGCRAAGAGAATGGCTGACGATGAARGCGGACATGGAGCAAGAAGTGGACGAGAAGTGTGCGAGATGGATCAAAAAGCTTGGACACATTAGATAACGTAAAGCAACAGAGATCAGAGCTCGAAAAAACTAGTATAAATACAGTTTATCCGAAAGAAATTTGCTATTGTCAAGCATTGCTCGTTTTCACCACGAATCTGCTCATTGCAAACTCGGGCAAAACAAAGCAAACACAAAACTATGCAAGCACAGCAAGAATTTCTCRCTCCATAATCCAAAAAGGAAGTTCTCAGCTGGGTAATTCATCCAAAAACTTTCAGCAACCTTTATTGACTTTTGATCAAGGTGCCGGAAATCTATGATCTTAACTGGCGCCGAACTCCTCACTATTTCCATAGATAAATTAACAAGATAAGCGCAGGCCACAATCATTTCACAGCAAACTCGAAGCAAATCTGAGCAAGAGAACAGAACAGAGAGGCTGGACGAACAAAACATGGAGTAATTGCAGAGCGATCCGAGGCAAAATTGAAAGGCGTACCTCTCGAAGGAGACGCTCAGCGGCAGCGAGAAGGCGTTAGAGGCAGAAGGTAGCAGAGAGCTGTTGCCTCGTCCTTCGATGATTTCTGATTTGCTCGTGGTTTGGTTGCAGACTGTTTCCCAACGAAAACTACAATGAAGAAACGAAACAATGCCAACTGACGATTTCGCCCTTCAAATGTTTTCCATAACCCGGTTCATCGTGTGAATCGAACCCGGGGTTGGTCGGTTTTCCCGGTTCGGGGGCGAGAGAGATCTGGGAAGGGGCGCCGGCGGTACGGTAGGAGGCAGAAGGAAGAGATAGAAAGGTAAAAAGGCCGAATGGATAAGAATGGTCTGGATCCATTCGGGCCAGTTAAATAAAGAAAAAAAGTGAGCCTGGGCCTTGGCCTGTTAGGGCTTATTTCTCCTTTTTGGCAAATTATTTTTATTTTTTTTAATACGAAGGTCTGTGGATTCAAACCTATAAGATAGGTGTCTTTACATATGCTCAATATTTTCATTTTTATAAAAATAAAATCAATTAAAATTAATTAAGCATGGATTGACTTATGGCCAAATSTATATTTTAATTATTGTACTAAAATATGTGTGTGTGTTTTAATTCATGTATTTAAAATTTGCAATTCTTCCACAAATTTTAAGAAGTTGGTGCATACAACTTTTATCATTTTATATGATTTAATTATTATTTTAAATCGCCAGTTTTATGGAAAAAATGACCATATATACCTGATTGTGATCAGATGTAGGAGGGAAGTTCGTTTAGGAATTTCTACTRATGCACYAAATATCAAACCACGTGAGTTTGTCACTAGTTAATTTTAACATTCATTCATATCGAGGATATAATTAAAAAAATGTTTGTGTATATAAAATTAGAGGCTTTTAAATCATAAGAACTAAATTAAAGAAAATAATACTAGAATTGAAATTTTTGAAAGGTAGTCAGCAAAATATGAGTGATGACCAGAAAGCACTAAATTTTGTTCCTCATTTAGTTTAGGATAATGTTAAAATTAAACAAATTTACATTCAAAAGCTATWAAATAATTATAATTGGTGGAAGTTTATAGCTATGTTACCCTTTCTTATTTATTTTTTTTAAATTTATTAAGAAACTTAAGTTTTTATTTCTCATTTTTTTTAAACATTCTCCAAAGTGTATAAAAAAGTTTAGAAACAACTTTATATTTCTARGTTATAATTTGTAAAAAACATAAATAAAATATTGTTTTATTATTATTAAATTCTATTTTTATTTATTAGAAATGTGAAAACAATAACAAGGAACAATGTTATAAAAGGAAGTAAAAAAAACAATGTTATAAAATGGGACTTTAAATTTTATTCAAACCTTAGAGTTTAATAAGTCAGTCTTAATTTTTAATTTAGTTTATCTAATTTAATTATAAATCTAAATGAGCTGTGAAATCGAATACTACAACTATTGTTAACTACGTACTATGTTATAACAAATYTCATCTTACTCAATTAATTAGCTTGAGATTAATCTTGTTAATAATATTTATATTTACTGACCAATTACAWMRGTTAATATGTGTCAATTCAAATATAGTTCAATTGACTTTTTTTTATTCTTTTAATATAACAAGTGAGGGTAGGAGATCGAACTTTGAGATATATGTTAATTACTACTGGTTTACCGCTCTCGCCATAGTTCATTTAATCAAGCAACCTATATCCAACTAAAAAGTCATAAGTTTGAATTCTCATATCCACATGGTGTACTAGAAAAATTCCAGATAATAAATCTCAGATTTCCTAGAAAAAGGTGGACCTTGTATTAATTATTAAAAGAAAATCAAACCAACAAAAATCTATAGAAATCCCCCTTTTCAAATTTGGCCCAAGATTTTTGTAATCGTTTTGAATAAGTTTCGTCCTCCTACGTCCTAACTAACACATTGTTTTTATTTAAAAAGAAAAAGTAAATCATATGGATTCAGAGAAGTTTCAATTTGTAGATAAACTTAAATATTTAATTGTTTACGTGGTCAAATTTATTTATTTGTTATATTTTATTTATTTTGGGGAGTTTGCGTCAGGAGTCTAGGCATGCTGCATGCGTGTTCCTATAAAAAACATAGATTTTTTAACCGCGCACATTATTCCTTACAACTCACGAACTTTTTAATTATCGGATCTAAATTCAGTTTTAATTATCAATTTTATTAGCTCAACAATTTAAAAACACCGATAATTTATAATTGAAATATTTTTTTTAGTACAACATAAAATTCGAACTCACGATATCTTGGTTGTATGTATGTGCCTCAACTCGTAAGCTCAAATTAGTTATAGGTATAAGATTTGAATCTCCACATCTAACATTGCAATGTCATATTACGTTAAAATGACATTTAATTTTAATAAATTATTATTTAATTTTTAAAGTACCTTGTTAATTGTTATGAATTACTGTGTAAACAATCAAATCACCCTTAGTGAGTTTTTATATAAAGTTATCTAAATAATCGTTATTATAAAAATATTATTCAATTAGAAATAACTTACCTGATGGCTTGAACTAAGCTGATCAATAATCGACATATATCTCTAACTAAAAAATCATGAGTCTGAAATTTTTCATCCTCCTTGTTGTACTAAAAAAATTACATGAGTAACATACACATAAATACATGTTCTCATCATATTTAATATTGACATTAATAGTCAATACAAGTGTAGATCGAGTGATTCTTCAAAATCAACTTGAGATTTTATTTGATAGATCATTTAAATTTATTTCTTTGAGGTTCAAATTGGACTCGATTAATATACTCAAAATATCACATTAACTTTGACACATGATATATTTTTCAGTATAAAGTCAACATAGATTCTTAAGGTATAAAAATAAAATAAAATTACAAACTCAAGCATAGTTAATTGTACCTAGATCCATAATTGAAAACGTCGCTTTACGGGATTTGATATTCAAAATCTAGATAAATCACGAGTTGGCCTTCAATTTTCTTACAAGAAGAAGAAGGTTTTATTTTTCTCTCCGAATAGACGAGAAGAAAAAAAAGTAAAGCATCATATGATTTGGATACCAGATAAAAAATCACTTGTCGGTTATAAAGTTTTGTTATTTCTAACTTGACCCATCGTCAAATTAGAAATTAACTTATTATATTTTTTTAGTACAACATGTACAAATAAAGATTCAAACTCATAGCATTTTAGTCGTAAATAAGTGTATTTACTTGTTAAACTAATTCTTAGATCCCCTACACTAAAAGGATTTAATTTTTGAATCTTCCAAAGATTCATTAATCTTGTTAATGAAATGATGATATATGGACAAAATAAAATAAAAATGTGATAATTATTCTTAAGCGCAAGCGGGGAGTGGGTGCAATAATTCAGAGAGTGATGGGAATTAGGAAAAATCCGAGTCACGTCCGAATCATCAAACAAATATGAATACGGGCTTTTGGGGCCCACCATTTTTAATATCAATTTTCGCACCACATTAATAATTATTTTTATTTTGCACTTTTTTTTATAGCTTATTTTCACATTGTTACGTGCAGCGTACAAGGCAGACAGTTGTATAGCGTTGTTAATTTCGTCACAGTCGAGTTATTTTAATTTAATTATAAATCGTTTACCAGAAAAAAGGGCAAAAGATGTTAATTTTTTGTCATTTATTTTACCCAAAAACAGAAAAATAAAATAAAAGAATCAGTAAAGCGTTCCACGGAGTAAGGATTATGGAATGTCCCTTTGAAAAAAATAAAATAAAAAACCAAATCAATCAAAGGTGCATTTGATATTAAATTATAGTTTAATTCATCGATGTTGTTATAAGTACACAATTAATGTGTAAATAACACATATTACTTTCCTAAATGTCAAAATGTCAAAAGTTGGATTCACGTTCCTCTAACAACATAAATTATACTTTTAATAACTCAATTAAATGTATAAAAGTTTCCATTTTTTCTTTTTTGAATTTTCTTTTAAGTTATGTTACTGTGTGTAAAGTTAACCGATATTGATGTCTAATCTTGAACTAATATGGGACATTTTGATCATGGCATAAGAGTTCAGGCTGCTAATTTCGAATTTTGCTCTTTCACGTACGCATGTTCGACAAGATTCAAACATGGAAGCCAATACACTTGCGAATTATACTCTACAAATTCAAAATTCTTATTCTTCGTGTACCAACTTTTCCTTCTGGCTCATTAAACTCCCAAGAGGTAGTGTTCATCATTTTGTTGCCCACGTGGCTGATTCAATTTAATACAATATCTCATTGTTCAAAATAAAATATATGGGGCAGTTTTTTTTATTTGTACTTTTTTTAATACGGAATGATTATTTAAAGTAGTTCAATTAACATTTATTTAGTATGATAACTTGATCCAATTCAATTCTAATTATGACATGATTGTTCAACTAAAAAAATTAGAGGTTCCAATCCTCATTTCATAGGTTGTAAACACATCACTCATTGTGTTTATATTATGTTGAGTTGTTATTTACCTGAATAAAATTGAAGCATAATTCAAAAATTAGGTACATAACTATTTTTTTTTATTGAAAAAACAGTTTATAAACTAAAAAATCTCGATGCTGATGGCAGAAAAGCTTAATTTTGAAAATTTTCTCCATAAATTTTGTATGAATATGAAATAAGTTGTTTTGATGTTTTCAATAATTCAATTGATTCAAATATTTACGTAAAAAAATTCAACTATAAGATTTGACCACACGTTTATAAAAGCGTAAGAGAAAAAAACACATTCACTTCGATTCGTCGAGATTGGCAAAACGTGGCGATGGAATTGTGGGTACCACGTTAACTGGGCCAGCCACCGCCGAAGTCCGACGACTTGTCGTTCCTTACAATATATAATAGATTTATTTTATTATTTTTATTTTCTGTAAAGATATTTATTTTTCTTTTAAATTTATAATTTGCCCTATAAAATATATATATATCTATATAAAAAAGAAAAAGATAGGATCATAACTTAACTGATTATACTTAAAAAAAATAAAAAATAATAATAACTCAATTGATTAAGATATATAACATTGATTCAAATATCAAATGTTTGAATTTAAAAACGTGAAATAAATATCACTATCATCCTTTTTTTACAACAAATAATGAGAGGAATTCGAAGTTCGAACATATGACCTAATGATTAGAGATAAATATCAATTACCACTAAGTTCATATTGGCATCACTGTCATTATAGTAATGACAAAAAAATGTATATAATTAAATGATATGGATAGAAATCAAAATATTATTTCAAATATAATAATAATAAAAATGCAATAACTATTTGTGTTACAACGATGAATTAGATCACTTTTCTCCGTATGTGTATTATTAAAGAATTCATTTTGATCCATTTACTTTCGACATTTATTTATTTTAGTTCATGTACTCTTAAAATTTTATTTTCGTCACTATGTTCTTTAAAAGGGGTCATTTTGGTCTTTATTTACAAAATTTTGACACAAATTTTATTTACCAAACCTTTTATTACAAATTGATAGCTATATTTCAAGAATTTTAGTGAATGAAATATGGAACTAAAATTGTTATCCAAATAAAGATAAGATAAAAATGAAAATGAATTGATCAAAAATGGTCACTTTTTAAACATACAAAAGAGAAAAAACGAATATTTCCAAAGTACACAGGACTAAAATAAACAAAAGTTGAAAATAGATGAACGTTTTGACAATGAAAATATATATAAAAAACAACCCAAATCTAAATGTATATAAACCAAAATATTATTTAAACATTATATTTTCCAAATCATTTCATTATCACTCCATCTCTAATAACATAAAATTAACTAGGCGTAAATGTAAACATGGTTCAATGAATAATACAATAATTATTTAATTGTTGAACTTGTGTAATAATCCAGCTTGATTTTGTGCAAATTTTGATTCTAATAAATGAGTGAATTTTACATTAATTCTTATTAAAAGTAGTAAGTGAATTAACATAAATTGAATGATAGGTAAAAATTGCAAACACTTATTATAACTTAACAATTTTAAGGACAACTTTAAAAAATTAAAAAGAATTACAATTCAATGAAAAGTCAGACAGGTAAATGTATTTGAATATTATGTTTACTGGTATCTAGATTAAAATTTCATAAATTTATTAAAGACAATATTAAAAGTGCAATAATTTATTAAACATTTTTTTAAAAGTCAGTTAACCCTTTTTTTATTATTATTATTAATATTTTTTTTTGAGAAATGGCCAGTTATTAAAGAGAGAGAAATATGAGGAGGAAAATGCAAGTTGAAGGGGAAAAAAAGGCTAAGAGATAAAAAGTTGAAATCAATTAAAGAAGCTATGATTCTACAATTAAACAAAATTCCAAAAACCTACATTCTTTCTCTTGAGTAGAACAACTAACAGCGTCACTCTCAATCTCAATTCTCATCTCATCTCAAAAGCAGAAGGAAGAAAAAGAAAAAGAAAAATAATAATAGAACAATTAAATTATGGCCATCACCGACCATTAATTCCTCTAATGGCCAAGAATTTCCCTTCCTATAGATTCGACCAACCACACCCACAAAATTATCCATCAAAATTTAATTACTTAATTTATATTTTTTCTTACAAATTAGAAAACATAGGCTTAAATAAAATATTTTTTTCATCTCGAGTTTCAAATTTAATTCATTTCAAATTTTGTATTTTCAAAATTGGCTGTGAACTTAAGTTTGAAATATTCATTTTGGTTACTGTATTTCTAAAAAACTGTTTATTTTGATTATTTGATTTCTACTTTTATTTCGTTTATTTCCAACACATCTACTAAATTTTTTGAAAATAATCGTACATTTGTATTAAACGATAATGTAATTTTGAGATGAGACCAAATGGGTCAGTCTTTTCCTCCGATTTGTTCTATATTGAAAATAAAAAAAGATACAATTTTAAAAATAGAAATTAAATTAGTCACTTGTAAAAATACATGCATTAAAATAAATTAAAATAAAAAAGTGTCTGACAAAAATATAATTTAAACATAAAACTTAATAAAATAATCACTTACCCAAAAGAGAGAAGAAAAAAAAAAACCCCACGACCTACATCATAATCCTAATCCCCTATAAATATAATACAACCAACTGATGTTTTTACTTTTTTACTTTGTACATGGAAGTGGAACCGCCATTTTTACTGCCCCCAAGCTCCTGAAAATGGCAGAACTAGCAAATGGCGCAGGCATTTGGATTTTCCTCCATGCTATGGGCGTAATAGTAGGTGGTGAGATGGGGGTTGTAGGCTCTGTAAGCCTTCACCAGCTCCAAAGCGGCGTCGTTTGGATTGATCTCTTTCTTCTTCTCTCCTTCTTTCTTTTCCTCTTCCTTCTTCGGCTCCTCCGCCGCCTTCTTCTCCTCCTCCTTCTTCGGCTCCTCCTTTTTCCCTTCCTCTTCCTTCTTCGGCTCCACCGCTGGCCCGACGGAGAATATGTCCGCCGGCCAGAACTTTCGCAGTTTGCTCACCACGGTCACCGGATCCACGGCTCCGATCACCGTCAGCTTCTTCTCCTTCATGTCCATCGCGATGGAGTCGATTCCTGTACAAACGCACATGAATAAATCCAAAACTCTGTTTGTTTAATTTCTTCATTTTCTTCTAAATAATCAATGTTACTGTCATTGTTTCGTTTGATTTAGGTTTAGAAACAAATTAGAAATGAGAATAAGAAACGTTTTCGGTGGTTTCAAACAGAAATACTGTACTGTTAAATCAACACTGCATCCAGAAACTTGAATTAAAAACTTTATTTTTATTTCATAGATATATTTAGAACGCAGAAAAAGATTAAAAAAAAAAGAAAACAGATAAATGACCTGGGAGAGTGGAGACCAACTTCAGGGCCTTCTTCTTGGCTTTATCATCGTGCAAATCCAGCTTCAGAACAACCTTCTGCTAGAGAGAGGAGGAGGGGTTAAAACTTAAAATAAAATATATTGCAAGAAAGAGAGGGGCAATATGGGAAATGGGGAGTATACCTTCATTGTTGAGAAGTTTTTCTTTTTTCTGCAAAATGACTGAGACAAAGGGAGAGAGTTTTTGGTTTGGCCAGGAGGAGGAGAGAGAGAGAAAAAAAAGTGAAGAGAGAGAGAGAGAGAGAGGAGTGCGGAAAGCTATAGGGGCTACGGCTATATAGTCCATCCATTCCGTTTTTTCACTGTCAACAAACCGTGCAGTTGTTTGCAGCCAATAATTTGCTCGCAAAACCTACTGCCACCACCGGCGCGTAAACTCCACGCCCCACGTTCTCGTGCTTCCCACCATCGCCGTGAAGTCACTTAGGTCAAATATTTCTTATATGCATATTAAAATTCAATACAGGTTCTTTAAGAAACTGTTCTTTTTCTTATATTAATTTATATTTATCTCGACTTTTTAAATTTGAATAATCGTTATAAATATGTCCATAATTAAGTGATAATTAGCATATATTTCAAATCAAGAGAGTGTAAGTTCAATCTCTCACATCCTACATGATGTATTAAAAAAATGAAAAATAATTTTCTTAATTTTCTCCCTACCCGATCACTCTTTATTTGGTAAAAAAAACACAATGTTGAAATTGTTAAAAATCTCACATTATTATAGACATGAGCCTATTATTCTCATCGTCAATTTTTTTTAGATGGAAATCAATGAACATTAATATGATATTTGAATCCAAAACATTCAAACGAACATTCAGTCAAAAAATAATATTATACCAAGATCGATGAGCCAAAAGAGTCAACACAGTTGGTTTTGAGATTGTAGAAATATGTTTTTTGAAAAAATTTATATCTCGTTGAATTATTGTTTTGTTAACTTGAATATGTATACCACTTTGGAATTTTTACTAATGGGTGAATGAAAATTTAGGGGTAAAAAGTGACATTTGTTTGTGTTCAAATATTTTTATAAAATAATAATTTAATGATAGGTCAAACAATTTTTTTTAATAAAATAACCCATTGAAAAAAATAGTAAAATTAAAATTTTCAAAAGATTAAGGGTTGGATTTAAAAGAGGATAACTATTGTGTCTACTTCACCAAAAAAATAATTATTGAAAAATCATGTTTCGTTGGTTTTCCTTTTTAATGAAAAGAACGTATGCATCGTGTTTCATAGTTCACACCCCATACATGATTTAAAAAAAAATATAATAATAATTTCAGAATCTACGAAGTATCGAAATCAAAATCATACGGGGAATTATTTAAAAAATCCCGTGTAAAGAAAATAGCCACGGGCCGGTGGCGCGTGGCATATACGCACGGCTGAGGCGGCTCGGGTGGAGCAATCAATTTTTGGCCAACGGGGAAATGCGGACCCCACGGCGCACCGGCAACGAGTACAATCAGACCGTCCAAAAGGAATAAAGAATCCGCTGCAATCGGTTCTACGGCTATCGCCAAACACATAATTTTCATCTGCCACGTGGCAGTCGTTTCCATGGTGCATCGTCGATGACCACTGGTTTGCCGATATGTCGTCGTGCCAAAAAGGAGCTCAAAAGATTGGTTTGGGATTGAGGGCTTTGATTTAAAATATTGTTTTATTTGGGGAAACTCAATAATTGCAAATTGTATCCTCTATTTTGTCGATTTTGCAAATTACATTTTCTTCTGTTTTTTAAATCAGTGATGCCTATCCATGCGGTTTCTAAATTTACAAATCATGCTTTTTGTTAAAAGGGTCATGCTTAAATTTAGAAAATTAGCCTCCCATTTGTTGAAATTTGATTCAATGCACTAGTCTTTTTGTTTTCTCCTAACTTTGAGTCGAACAATCACGTGCACTTCTATTTATCAAATTTTAATAAGATTTGATATGTGAAGTGTGTCAAATAAATCGTGTTACCAATTTTATTAAAATCATCGATAATAATATAATAAGTACGACTTCAAATTTCAGGAGGAAAAAAAGTACTGTTGAGGATAAAATTCGAGCGGCAAGCATGTCAGAAGTGAGGGATGACAATAGGAAAGGGACCACAGACGACCTTGCACGCCTCCACTTAGTACGAGAAATGTGCCACAACATGTAGACGACATTATGCATAAAGAACTAGCAGATGACGCGAACCATAAATATTCTCACCTGCACGTTAGAATCCCGTACGACAAGGAGCCTCATTGTGCCATGTATGAAATGTCTTTCTTGGTCGGCCATGAACATCTATAAAAGGGAAGAGCCACTACCACCATCAAGTAAGTGAAAAATCTATCATTAATCTTCAAGGTGCTCTATGCTACTTCTTATTCCGATTACTAATTTGAACTAGGTCAGACACTGCATCAGTGTCGAGAATCATTGTTGTAGGCTCATCGACACTTGTCTATAGAACACAGTAGACCTCTTCAAAACTCGTCTCAACAAACACATTAATAAGATGATGATTCATTTATAAATTGTTAATCGGAATTTGATAAATTTAGAAAAAGCTATTGAGAAGTAGTTGGGAGTTAAATAATTATAGTATGTGTGATAATAAGGAAGGATCAGCGGGGCTATTCTGGACAATGCAAAGGTCATTCGACCTACTTTCACTTTAATTGATGACATCAAATTAATTTATTTTTTGTAAAAAGAATAATGTTATATAATTAATATATATACATTATATTAGGCCTATTCAACTGATGAATATATTTATTCTAAATTCATGTTAAAAATATTTTGAGTGAGAAGAAAGGTCAGATCAGGAGCGTAGAAAGTTATCCAAAGAGACCAAATGGCCAATCAATGGGCCACGGCGGCTCGTGCGGCCGAGTGGAGAAACACGATGGCAAATATTTTATTTTTTTTATCGGTATTAAATGGATTAAAGGTTTATATATATATATAATCTTAATTTATTTTGATATTTGTACTTTCAAATGTTTTATTTTGATAATTATAATTTAAAATTTTGTTCATTTTAATTATTGTACTCTCAAAACAACGGTTTAATTTTTATCTCATTTATTTCGATTATAGGTTCAATATGACTATTCGCTTATTAAATTTCTTGAATTTTAGCCATAAAATTATATTAAAGCGTTTCCATTGTATCTAAAATTTTGTGTTGAAATTTTGTAAATATGGACCAAATTAACTACTTTATAAAAGTATAGATACCAAAACATATGTTTTGAAAGTATAGTGATCAAAATTAATAAAAATTATAACAAAATAAACGGACAAAAATTAACAAAACTAAAAATATATAATCAAAAAATAGTATTCAAACATGTGTTCAAATGTACATTTAATTTAATATTAAATATTAAATAATTGTATCTTCTGTGTCAATAACTGATAGGCTTTTTAATATTTCAAAATATTATATATCGACGGAATAATTATCAACCGTCCATGTTAATATATGTACAAAACATTTCTTAAATACTATGAGATAATTATTGGATAAACTTTGTGATCATATTTCAAATATATATATATATATATATATATATATATATATATATATGTATATTTGGGGTTAGGGTTTCCAAAATTGCCACGTTTTCATATAGATTTCGTGTATACCCAAAATTAGAAAGTGACATCTAATATGAATTATTGGTAATTTTAAATGGTATTATTGTAATTCGCCTATTTTAAATATTAAACCTATGTATTTTTAAAATAAAGCGGTAAAATTTATATAGCTGGTAAATTTATGAAATATACTATAATATTATATAGTTTTAATAGAATTGATACACGTTACGTGACAGCTGTCTTATATATTAGAAGTTACGTATTCTTATTCCATTGAAAATAATGAACAAAATAGACAATAATTGTTGAAAAAAAAACAAAAAAGACAATTATTTTTTTAAATTGTGATTATCCGTGCTATTYATGTGTATTTATTTTGAACATAATATTTCAATGGTAGGAGTAAGGATATATTTTTTTTTTTGTCTAAAATCAGCAAATTAGTCGGATACAAAACCTAGTATTTTTTAGATAATATTAGAGTATCTTATTGCATGCTTTTGTAGAGAATTTGGAGTTTGTTTTTTATTTTTAGATTGGATTCATTCACCGTCTACATGTCACGTACATTTGTTTCGAAAACCATTTCACGTTATAAATTCAAAATTGGGATTTTGATATCATAGTTATATTTTTTTAAAAAGTAAAATTTTGATTATCTGGTGTTATAAATTCATTTAATCTAATTGATAATATTTTATATTGAACTGAATATTTAGTTGGTAATTACCACTTCTTTACAATTATATTATTAAACACATATTTGACAATTTCTTTTTAAATTTACAATTTTTAAATCTACTACCAAACTCTGTTTTGATTGAATCCCTTATTTTCAAATTTTTATTTTTAGATCACCGATCAAATACATCCTTAAATATTCGAGTTGTGTTCGAATTAGTATACAAGTAAATATTTGAATATTGACTTAAGAATGTTGTGCCTATTATTATTAAATTATGCTCACATTGCGATTGAAATAATTACATAGGGGCATTCATGATCACAATGACCAACTATCAAGATAACGGAGGATAAATTTTTGGGAAAATTTTTTGCAAAGGAATTTGTGGAAAAGTTAGCTCTCAAGAGAGAGCTCAAAAATAATAAAATGTAACAATACATTACTTTCAAATAATGTTTTCTCTTAGTTTTTTGGGGTTTTGGCCCGAAAGAGAAAAAAGCCAAAATATAAAAACTAAAAAGAATAGTTCATTAAAAGTAAAATTTGACAAAATAAAATATTAGAAACAAATGATTTTGTTAAATTGAAATGTCTATTTTCAGCCATTAACATGAGAACTTAGCTATAATTGTCACGAGAAATCGAGTTAATAATAAGCCATTCACATTCAAATTTTTTTTATAGGTACGTCCAACTATAAAAATAATATTTGTTTTTTAACTATATTGAAGGAATACTTTAGTTCGTGATTCTATTTAATTTTTTATAGTTAATGATTCTATTTAATTTTTTAAACTATGATATTTAAATTTTTATTTTATAAAAAATGGATTTTTACTATTTTCAAAATTTTCCCGACAACTACTTATTCATCTAGTTAAAATTTATGAATCGTAGAATAATCATTCGATTTTTTTTTGCTCTTTAGATCATAATTTAATAAAAAAAAATATAGAATTACCCCAATCCATAACATAAAAAAATGTATTTTATTCATCAACTTGATGAAATCATAATAGTTTTATTCATCATGGGCTACTACATTTGGATAAAACTTAATTGGATTGAAATATTTATTTTTTTGAGCCTCGAGTTAATAAAAATTTTAAATCCTTTAGGTCGTTGTGGTTAAAATAAATAAATAAATAAATATATATGGGCCTGTGAAGTTTATTGGGCCGTGATGGAGGCCCATTTAGGAGCGTAACAGAGTGCACGTACAAAGCCGTGTGGGAAGTTCCAACCGTTGAAACGACGTGTGTCTCGCAGGTCTGCCTTTGTCTTCGGTCTCGCAAAAACCAAATACGAAGAAATATCTGCAGCATACAGATCAGCCTCGAAACCCATCACTGTTCTATTCTATTCTATTCTATTAAACTCCTAATTCCGGATGATTTCTCTCCTTCTCTTGATCACCCATGAAAAAACCAAGCAATTTCCCCAAAACCCCCCTTTCCCACCATTTTTTCCTCTTCAAAACCCTAATTTTCTCTCCCAATTCCTCGT